GCTGAAGTGTAATCTTTTCATTTCTGGAGACGGAGAAGCTGTCCATTTTGCGGCTGCCTACACAAGGACAGAATGAATTCATTATCAGCATTCAGGGCAAAAATTAAAGCAGACAATTAAAGGAGGACAGAGAAATGTCTCCTACAAAATGAATCAAATCTGTGTGACACCCATTTGTGCTGTGAGGTGAGGCAGAAAGAATATGGAGAACTCGGAAGCATAAAGGCTTCAGATAAGGGAAAACATTATTAATAGGATTGAAATGATTTTTCCCTGCGCCCTAACAAAATGAATTTTTCCTCGGCTTGGAAGCAGCAATTGAATAAAGGTCAGTGTGTATGAAACAGGTTGTTGATTCAAACTAGGGGATATTCATCCACCTCTGCTCATTCTGTTCTGTCACACAGACACAGTAATGGCATGCAAAGTGGGGTAATTTCAAAGTAACACCAGCTGATTAGAACCAGGGGGAATCACGCACAATCAGATGCCAGGATGCCATCATCTGTTCCTTCTCGCCCTCCCCTTCTCGCTCCTTCCCTCTTCTACATTGCAACCAGCCCCAGGCCTAAAAATGCCTAGGATCAGATGAGCACTGAAGCCACCATTTAGTGTATTTGTGAGGACTATAAGGACATGTCATGTGGTGACAGGCAGCAGAGGCAGCAGAGCTTAATGATGTAATCAGTGAGGAATGTTTAAAAAAAAAAAAAAAAGGATGATGGCAACCACACTGTTAGTCTTTTCGTTCATAATAAGAAGCAGTGTGAGTTTATGATGGGTGTCAATCAGCAGGATGACATATAAGACCTTTATTATTCACTAACATAACTAATTACTGTGCCAAGAGAGCATAATCAGGTCGCAGTGCAATCTCCCATCTGGTTGACTCCACTGATTGATGAAGAACAAGAACGGAACAAGAAGAGACACGTCAGGATCTGGGTGTCTCACCACCTTGGCTAAACAGTTTCTTGGGGGAAACCCTGTGTTTCCAAAGTTAACTCACTGAAGTAGGCTAGACCATAATGTCGAGAAAACTGCTCATTGTGCCATATCATGTTTTGCCATCGTTAAATGATGCTAAATAATGAT